TGTCTGATTTGTTGGTTTCACATGTAACTGTTAAACATCACATTTTGCTTGCTAATTGCTCACATTTATTTTTGACAATGACTAGGGCATAAATCTCTGTATAGTCTGATTTAATCAAATTCTAGGCCTTTTGCTGAGGTAGTTTTTGAGGTTAGTACTTGAGGTTTGTTTTAATTCCAGGAGAGCTCTTGTTAGCTTTATTTCCCCTTGGTTTTCTCTGGTAAACTGTATAGCTTTTTGCTCTCATGTAGCTACCATGATCTTTATTTTTTTTCTTTCTTTTTTTTCTTTCTTTTTTTTTTTTGAGCATACATTTGGGTTCAATCTTCCCCAGTCTGTGTTCCAAATAAAATAAGTTCCCTTGGGTAGGTCTTCATAGCTCTCTATTTTCAATCCTTCCTCCACCTGTGAAGAATCACCACATTGCTGCTTTGAAGCTGTGAGTCAGCATGGTGTACTGTTTTTCTTGGAGTGACACTCCATTTCATGATCAGGGCACTGCATGGGGCAGTAGAAGACGTTGGTGTTCTATTTTGCCTCTTGTTCTGGCGTGGACAACTGCTTTATGTGTGAGCTGGAAAAGGATGATCAGATAATATTCGCAGCCTACTACAACTAGGGCAGATCTTTACCCTATGGTGGAGGGGGGTTGTTAAATGAGGGGGCAACATCTTGGCTATACTTGTCTAGATTTTAACCTCTATACATAAAGCTGAGAGGATGGGAAATGCACTCTTCCTCTCCCACTAGGGGTGGAGGGGGGCATCTTTCTTTTTAGCCATACCTACTCTGAGTAGACCTTTTATTACACTCAGCTGGGTGTGGATGAAAGAGGAACTAGGCCATGACACGAGAACCGTAGACTCACTTCTTACCCAGATTTAGTAGTTTTCCTTGATAAATGTTTCTTCATTTGCTAAATGCCCTTGGGATAATTTTTGGAGGCTTTAAATGGTTCTTTTAAAAATACTTCTCACTAGTTGTCACACTCAGGAGAGCATATGTGGAGATCCTTGCACTGCCCTTTTTTTTACTTCATGCCCTGGTATAGAATTTCAATAGTAACCTGTAAGTAGTTGCAATGGAAATTTACCTTTCTTAAAAAGCAGTGTACTTTTGTGTTTACACATATTTCTTTCCTTTCTCATTCTCTGACTCCTACTGATGTGTTAGGCCAGACCAGCTGAGCTCCCTTCTTACCTGCCTTTCACATACATGGATACTACTCACTCTTTGTCACCCCTGGTTGTTTCCTCATTTTGACTTTTATGGCCAGGATTCATATTTCTACTTGGGGTACTGGAATTGGTGACTCTTTGATTTTATTCTCATCTCGACTGTTATTGGCATATATGAAAGCTACTGATTTGTGCGCATTGATTTGGTATCCTGAGACACTACTATATTCCGTGATCACTTCTTAGAGCTTTGTAGTTGAGTCTCTTGGGTTTTCTAGGTATAAGATTCTGTCTTCTGGAAAGAGTGAGAGTTTGACCTCCTCTGTCACCATTTGTATACCCTTGATATCCTTCTCTTGCCTGATTGCAATGGCTATTTCTTCCAGCACTATGTTGAATAGCAGATCTGAGTGGGCATGTTTTTAGTTTTACTCCATTCAATATGATATTGGCTGTGGATTTGTTGTGGATGGTCTCTATTAGTTTGAGAAATGTCCCACATAAGCCTGTTTTCTTGAGTGTTCTTATCAAGAAAGAATGCTGGATATTGTCAAAATTCTTTTCTGATCAATTGAGAGCATCATATGGTCTTTGATTATGTGGTAAATTACATTTATAGATTTATGTATATTGAGCCAACTTTGCTCAAAACCTACTTGATTATATATAACTTTTTAAAATTTATTAAATCATAGCTGTGTACATTAATGCAGTCACGGGGTACAATGTGCTCGTTTTACGCACAATCTGAAATGCTTTCATCAAACTGGCCAACATAACCTTCACGGCATTTTCTTAGTTATGGTGTTAAGACATTTATATTCTACACCTAGTAAATTTCACATGTACCCTTGTAAGATGCACTGTAGGTGTGGTCCCACCAACTACTTTCCCTCGTATAACTTTTTTAATGTGTTGCTGTATTCTGTTTGCTGAGATCTTATTGAATATTTTTACATTGATATTCATTAATGGTAATGGCCTATTGTTTTCTTTTTTTGTTGGATCTTTTCCTGGTTTTGGAATAAGGATTATAATTACTTTACAGAATGTATTGGGGAAGGGATTCTTTCATTCTCTATGTATTTTGGAATACATTATACAATATATGTACTAGCTTCTCTTTGAATCAGAATTCTTTGGTAGAATTCTGGTGTGAATCCATCCAGTCCAGGGCCTTTCTTTTTTGTATAATTGCAATTTCACTGTTTGACATAGGTCTATTCAAAATTTCCAATTCTTTCTAGTTGAGTTTGGGAAGTTGGTGTGCTTCCAAATATTGGTCCATTTCCTCTACATTTTCATATTTCTGAGAATGTTTTTTATAGTAATCATTGAGTATATTTTTTATTTCTGTGGTATCCCTTGTTATTTCCCCTTTATTGTTTCTGACTGGCATTATTGGAGATCTTTTCTGTTTCTGGTTAGTCTGGGCAAGGGTTTAACAAGGGAGGTAAGAATCCTGGCTTTTAAATTAAGTTGCTGTTATATCAGTTTTTTCCCAAGTCACTTTTACATTTGGAGAATTTTAGAACTCATGGTACTCAGCATATAAATGAGTCAATACTAAGATTTATTACAATGAGGTAGTAAGGATATGCAGCTAGTTAAGAAGAAAAAGACTGAGGCAGAGTCTTGAGGAATCCATTTGCAGGCTTCCTGCATTATCAATTTTTTTAATCAAAAAATTAAAAGATTTTTATTAATCTTTTCAAAGAACCAGTATTTTGTTTCAATGATCTTCCAAAAGATTCTTGTGTATTTAATTTCATTTAATTCTGCTCAAATTTTGGTTATTTCTTTTCCTCTGCTGGGCTTGGGAGTATATTATTCTTCCTTTTCCAATTGCTTGAGAAGGTGCATTACATTGTTGACTTGCATTCTTTCTGTTTTCTTGATGAAGGCATCAAATACTATAAATTTGTCTCTGAGGTCTACCTTTGCAGTACCCCACTGGTTTTGATAGTTTGTGGCTTTATTATAGTTTATAGTTTTGTTCAAGAAATCTAATGATATACTTCTTAATGTCACCTTTGACCCAGCTGTTGTTCAGCATAAGGTTATTAATTTGGTATGAAGATCTCTGCTATTGCTGACTCAAACTTTTATTTTGTGAGGGGTCAAGAAGATATAAGGAATGATTTCTATTCTTTTGAATTTGTTGAGGTTAGATTTGTGTCTTAATATTTGATCAATTTTGGAGGATGATCCTTGGGCTGATGAGAAGTATTTTTAATCAGTTTTGTTAGGATGAAACGTTCTGTTTATGTCAAGTCTCATGAGAAGAATTTTTAATCAGTTTTGTTAGGATGAAACATTCTGTATATGTCAAGTCCATTTGTTCTATGGATGTGTTTAGATCCATTATTTCTTTGTTTAGTTTCTGCTTGGAGGATCTGTCCAGTATTGTAAAAGGGGTATTAAAATCTTCAACTATTATGGTACAGTAAGATATATTGTTCAGACCATTTAGGATTTGTTTCATGAATGAAGGAGCATTTAGCTTGGGTGCATAAATGTTAAATATTGAAATCTCTTCATGTTGTGTGCTTCCCTTGATCAGTACAAAGTGTCCATTTTTGTCTTTTCTTATTTTTGTTGGTTTAAATCTAATTGTATATGCAAGTAAGATTGCAGTCCCTGCTTTTTTCTGATTTCCATTTGTCTGATTATTGTTTTCCATCCATTCACCCTGAGACTTGTTTTATCCTTTGAGATAAGGTGTGTTTTTTGGAGAGAAAGGATATTGGGCCTGAGCTTTTGTATTCTGTCAGCCAGCCTGTGCCTCTTTATAGGAAAATTTAAGCCATTCACATTTATTGAGAGAATTGATAGGTACAGTGGAGTTTTAGTTATCTTGTTTATCAGAAATCCAGAGATTGTTTTCATCCCTTGCATCATTGTGGGAGCTAGGCTTTGTTCTTTAATTTCTGGGTACATTTACTTTGATGGTGGACTATCATGCTGGTCATTCTGAAGAAAGGGTCTGAGTACTTCCTGTATAGCTGCTCTAGTTATGGCAAATCTTCCAAATTTGCATGTCAGTGAAATATTTGCTTTCTTCATCACAAATGTAACTCATTATAGTTTGATATAGGATCTTGGGTTGAAAAATGTTTAAGAGGGTTAAAGGCCAGTGACCATCTGGCTTGGAAAGTTTCAGCTGAAAGATGTGTGGTCATCCAAGTTAGTTTTTTAAAAAAATTTAGACATATACACTAATGTGAGACAGAGTTTTTATCATAGCAGTTGAAATCAATAGATATTTTGCCTGGGGGAAACATTTCATGGATGGCATGTGTGAAAGAAACTGGCTTTTGTATGAATTAGAGCAAGATATAAATTTAGGGTTATCAAGTTTCATTTTGAGGATCTTGGGGAACTTGTTTGATCCCTAAATTATCTGATGTGTAAATACTACAAAGGCATACTCAATAAATATTAATTTGAAATCCATTTCAATAATTTTATAATACCTTTTCCTTCTTGCCTTCCATCTTTAGGGACTACCCAGTTGTATATTAGCATCCATTTTTAGTCTTCACCTCAATGGTCTGTGATGAGGATTTTGAGCCTATAATGAAAAATAATTTTTACCTCTTAATATACAGAACTGTAATACTATGAAATTGACTTTTTTTTTTAACTTGATATAGTTTGAATTGTGAACCAAATACTTGCTTAAATTTTTTTGAGGTATCTTGTTGAAGGTATGAGGTATGAGTAAGATCTACTTTCAAAGTGAGATACAGAATTCAGAGTTTAACTTTAAAATACTTAGTGGGTGGAAAAAACATTAATTTCTTCTTTTTTGTTGTTTAGGCAGCAGGAGCAATTCGACCTCTTGTATCTACTGTCATTAGTCCATCTGCTGATGGGTGCTTAGACCACTCACTAGAACGTGCCAGATACAGAGCAAGTGAAATGCCACAGGCTTTTCTATTTGATGTGATCTATGAAGCATATCAGCAGGTAAGAATCTTGGATTTTAAAATAAGTTGCTGTTATGGCAGTGGTTTCCCAAGTCACTTGTATACTTGGAGAATTTTAGAACTCATGGTACTCAGCATATAACTGAGTTAAAACTAAGATTTATTACAATGAAGTATTAAGGATATGCAGCTGGTTAAGAAAAGAAAGACTGAGGCAGGGTCTTGAGGAATCCACTTGCAGGCTTCCTTATGTTCTCTCCCTCCCCTGAAGAGTCACACAAAGCACATCCCCCTGCCCACCTCCCAGCAGTGAGAATGCAGCAATATGTATGTGTCAACAGAATGAAACCCAGTCTCTCTAAAGTAAGTTACAGTGGTTTATTCTGAGTGAGATGTGTGTGATCAAGTCCAAGAAACCTTGACCCAGTGGTCTCCCTGTAGTTGGGCTACATATTGATTTTACACATTTCAGGGAAATGGAATTACATGAAAAGTCATAAATCAATACATTGAAGGCCTACATTGATTTGGCCCCAAATGGCAGTCCATCTTGAAATGGGGGATTACAAGTTATAGGTGGTGTTAAAGACTTTTTAGATTTTTAATTGGTTAAAAAAATGAAGCTTTGTCTAAAGGCTTGGAATGTTTTAAGTTAAGATAAGGAAGTCTGTTAATCAGAGATAAGCTACTGGACATAAATTATTATACAGGACATAGACTCAAGTGATATACTCATATACTGAGACTCAAGTGATCTGTTAAGTAAGTTGATCTGCTGATAATGTTTAACTTTGCCTCACTTTAGATTATAATAGCTTTAGATTTGTTAATGATTTTGTATCTTACTATTAATAAATTAACTCTAAAAGAGAAGGGGGGCATGGAAAGGCATGTCTGACCTTCCTTCTTATGGCCAGTAATGCAGCTATAGGGTTTATCTCAGGTCCCATTGGCCAAGATGTAGTCCAGCCAGTCAGCTGGGGGACGGTCTTTAGATTTATTTTAGTTCACGTATGTGATGCTTCTGCCTAAGGAAGCTCATTAGAGATTAAGTGCCCAATATGTTGGGTATATCATATGGACATCCTCTGCCTAGTACATGCAAAAATCTAGTTCCCCAGAAGGAAAGTAGGTATTTAGCACACACATACATTGTTTAAGCAAACAGTCTGGCACAGTGAGCCACCCTTACCAGTTAACTCTTGGATGATAGCTGAGAGCCTACCTTGCAGGCAAATCTTTCTAAGGCCAACTGTGGTGAAGTTTATGCAAGGATGCTTAGACATTTTGGTAACTAAAATTTTAATTGACAGTAAGTAACTTTTATAAATATATAATTTATTAATGTTATTAAATTACTTTTGCTTTGGAAATGCTTTTGTACTTTGTTTTACTGCCATTTATTTGCATATTTGAGTAATTTCAGATAGTGGATTTGTCGGAAAATTCCCATTGAAATATGTTAGAGCAGCTAATCCAGTGGATTATTTGGCCTGCAGTAGGAAGTGAGGAAGACTTAGCTAAGGGGATAGAAGAGTGGCCATAGGGAAGAGGGTGTGATTGCCTAGAAGCCTAATGAAGAAAGTGCTTTAAGAATGATTGACTGCATTAAATGTTACATAGGGGTTAAAAGGCCTGAGAACTGCCCATAAGTCTTAGCAATGTGAGGTCATTAGTGTTCAAGGGGTGTAGTGGATATGAAAACTTGATCGTAACTTATTTAAGAGAGAATAGAAAGGCTAGTTTCTGGAGGAAGTTTCATGTATATTGAGCAGAGAAATGGAAGGGGTAGCAGAAAGCAGTCATAGATTAGTAATAATGTGAAACTAGTAGATGAACAACTATAGGCTTGCATAAGAGAAAAACACAAATTCAAGAAGGGGGAAGGGTGAGGGGTTTACCTAAACTCTCACCTAAAAGGTACAGTGTAGGTACATATGCCACACCTCCTGGGTGAGGGCTCATTTACAACATGGACTTTACCTAACAAATGGAAACAACATAACCTAATTGTGTGTATCCTGATAGTAACCTGAAATAAGAAAGAAGGGTTTCATTATTCTTTTAAGATGGATGCTATAATAGCATATTGACATGATGGAGTGGTTCAGTAGGGAGGAGAAGTCTATGCTCGAATGAGGATGGATAGGACCAATGGCACTAGTGGTATGGAATTAGACCCTCGCTGGAAGGATAGATAGTTCATCGAGAGGAACAGGAGGAAAGGCAAAGAATGTGGATACAGATGCAGATAGATTAATGCCAATGGGAGGACTTAGGATTTGTTTTTCTGTTTTCTCTGTGATCTAGGGAATAAATCTTCAGCTGAAAGTGGGGAAGGTAGGTGAAATGTCCTGGCTTTAAAAAAGAGAAGATGTTTGAAATAATACATATTGCCTTTCATTTTTATTTCTTACATCTAGCTTAAATATATATATATATATATAAAAATATAAATATATATTTATATAAATAAAACTATCCCAAGAAAAAATATATTAGGACTAATTTTGGGGTATTCATGGCAAACTATGATAACTTTTGATCTAAAAAATCTACAAAGTATGGCTGGAGGCAAGATGGCCGACTGAAGCCAGCTTTTGGCTAGAGGCTCCCATACAGAGGGAGAAATAATGGCCAGAAATAACCCAATGAAGTGGAAGATCGGGAGCTGAGCCAAGAGAGAGGATCTATGGGCTAGCTTCCCCCCCTGCTGCAACAAGCTGGGACTCCAAGGGAACAAATTTCAGATACAAAACCAATCCCAAAGAGGACAGAATTCCCTCCCTCCCCCCACCACCCCAGGAGAGCAGCTGGAGGTGAGTAGAGAACAGAGGACCTTTTGTTTCAACAAAGGGGAGAGAACACTGAGGACTGGAACTCAGTCTACAGAGAAATACTACTGCAAGCCCAGGTAGTCACTTGCCTGGGCCAAAAGTTGATCTGGTATTCTCCCTACTTTCCTGAACTCCCAATCCACCTCCCCCTACTTTCCTCGCAGTCTGGAAGACTACCCCCTGGAAAATCTGGAGTGTTTAGCAGATTTTTCCTAGGGTGGGGAACCTCATGAGCTGTGGGGCAGTTGCACTGAGACTAAAACTTTAATAGATGCAAGGAGTCACAATGGGAGAGAGACTTGCCCCATGTTGGAAAGAGCATAGCTTGGGACCTGTGCCACTGACTACTGGGACCTCAGCCCACCAGGTCCCTGGCTCAGCAGCCCACACTGAGTGGCTTGGCTCCCCGCCAGGCTCTTGTGACCTGTGGCCCATGGCTGGCGACTGCTGCCAGCTTCTGCAACCTGTGGCCCATGCCGGTGACTCCTGCCCAGCTCCAACAACCTGTGTGGCCCACGGCTGGCGACTCCACCCTCTGGCTCCCAGCCTGGCTTCTGTGACCCACAGCCAGCAAATCCTGCCTGGCTCCTGAGACCCACAGCCTATGGCTGGTGACTTCTGCCTGGCTTCTGCAACCATCTGTCTGTGGCCAGCGACTCCCTCCTGGCCACTGCCACCTGCGGCTGGGACTCCTACTGGCTTCTGTAACCTGTGGCCCACGCTGGAGACTCCTGCATGACTCCTGAGACTCATGTGTCCCACGGCTGGTTACTCCATCCTCTGGCTCCCTGCCTGGCTTCTGCATCCTATGGCCTGTGGCCAGATACTCCTGCCTGCGACTGCAGCCTGCAGCCAGTGACCCCTACCCAGACCCTGTGACCCGTGGCCCAAACCAGAGACACCCACCTTACTCCTGCCACCTTTATGGCCAATGTCCATCAACTCCATCCTCCGGCTCCATTCCGGGTACCTGAGACCTGCTGGTGACTCCTACCTAGCTCCTATGACCCCTGAGGTCCCAGAGGCTGGGGACTCCATGCTCTAGCTTCCCACCCAGCTCTTGTGGCCTGAGGCCAGGGGTCAGTGGCTCCGCCTGCTGGTTCCCTGCCCAGCTCCAGTGACCTGCACACGGTAGTACCTCTGAGAGTGGTGGTGGCTGGGTCCCTCCCACTGGGGTCAATTTGAGCTGCCACTGGACGACCCGTGCTGCCTACATGCTGAAGACCCTTTGAACTTTCCTACCATATCAGTGTTTGTGTTGCCTGGAACAATTGGTTTAGTACTTTTGACCTGGACCTATCACCTGGGGACCCACCAAGGTTGTACCTTGTGGGAGTGTGGGATTCTTCCTGCCAGTTGTCACCTGTGGGTGGGGGTGTGTGGTGTCTTAATTGCTTATGTATCTCTACAGCTGAGATTTCAGCCCAAAGCCACTGATTCACTAGGATTGGGCAGAGACTAGCTGAATACTGGTCAGCGCCATCTAGCCCTACCACAGCAAGCAGGTCCCTAGGGAAAAGCCGCAATCACCTGTCCCAGTTCTTTGGTAAAGGGCTGGTCAATTACAACTCCAGGAACCCTGAATTCAATTTCACCTTGTCAGCTTCTCTAGCCAACTGGTGAAAAATAATCATGGGGCAGAATCAGTGGAAAAACCCTGGCAACATGAATAATTAGAGTAGATGAACTCCCCCAAGGAGTGACAAAGGAGAAACAACAGAAGATCCCATTCATAAACAAATGGCTGAGATGTCAGAAATTGAATTCAGAATTTGGATTCCAAATAAGATTAACAGAATGGAGGTAAAGATGGAATTAGAAATTCAAGGAGCAATTCAAAAGTTGTCTCAAGAATTCAATGAATTTAAAGACAAAATTAACAAAGATTTTGACACATTGAAGCAAGAACTTGTAGCCCTTAAAGATCTGAGAAATACAGTAGAATCACTTAGTAACAGAATGGAGCAGGCAGAAGAAAGGATCCCAGATATTGAAGAGAAAGCTTTTGAACACTTTCAAATGCCCAAAGAGAAAGACAAGTGGAGTGCAAAAATGGATCATTCCCTGAGAGACTTGTGGGACCACTCCAAAAGAGCAAACATAGGAATCTCTGAAGGAGAAGAAGATCATCTAAAAGGTAAAGATACTCTACTCCAAGAGATAATTGAGGAGAACTTCCGAAGCATGGCAATAGACACTGAAA